TGCCAGTTTTGTATTGCTGTCCGTGTCACCAATGGACAGAAACACCGTCTCCATTTGTTACCCAAATTGAAAGTGAAAGAAAGTCCAAAATTGTAACATAAATAGCGAGTAAATCTTCAATGGGGACATGTGTCCTTGTAACAGCTGCCTTAACATGGGACTTACTTCACTTTGAAGGGATTTACTCTCACTTCCTGTTTTGTATACAGGACAGAAATGGAAATCTCCTCTAATGCGACACATATGCCTAAAAAAAAACAACTCTACAGGGGTTTTAATGATTTGCTACTTTATCCAAAAGGAAAGAAGTATTGGCTTTAGATACCCGTTACGTGGAATTTTGTGTAGAATTTTCACTTGGAAATACAGTTATTTCTGGGCATCACAAAGTAAAACACATGTGACATCATCTTCCTTTGTACCATAAGCGTAGGTCAGTTGTAGATCAAGGGGTCGTGTAGAATCTCTTTCCTGAGGATTTAAAGGTGATCTGGATCCTGATTTGGACCATGAGCCTGAACCTGGCTCCCCTTCCTAGCCCCCCCCCTCCCCCTTTCTTTTCCTTGAATGCTCAGCAGCATTCAGCTATTCACTCACTGTCATCCGGCCCCTATGTGAATAGGGGTGAATGACAGCGAGTGAGCTGCCGCAGCTTTGGCTCAGCCGATCCAGGCAGCCGAGTACATATTTTTAATAGAGTAGGAAAGGTTTAGAGGATGTAAGCGATTTTTATGGCAGTCTCAGGATGATTTTTCCTCAATTCTGGTCATTTCAGCAGGACAAAAAGTGAGGGGCGATATCTACATCATGTACAGCTGAAATCAGGCGTACTGAGCAGAAGTGAATAGCCAAACGTTGTTCGGTTCACTTCACTTCGGCTGGGTTATTCACCCGGCTGCCTTCGGCAGCTTTGTGAATAACCCCCCTAAGTTGAGCAGTAATATAGAGGCACCATAATAATTTGATATATATTTCTTAGACCTCCTGATACATCAGCATGAGAAGTGCTGTATAGTTACTGTATTACTACATTCATACGTTTTTGTATTTTGAATATCCAGTTGTTAAGTATGTGTTTGACATATATGTTACATCTCTACCTTTTATACTATGTATCTATTTAGGCAGTGTGCCTCCTGTTTCTATGGAATTTTGGTATTTTTGTACTGCATTCATACATTCAAGAAAATAAGAAAAGAAAAAAAAACACAGTGACATTGCTATTTATATGGGCTGCAAGGTTACAAGTTTCCCTCATTCATCAGTGCTAGGATTCCTGTTCGTTATTTTATCCCTGCTCACCGCAAGGTGAATCAGGCTGAAGCTGGTCAGATGACTCGTAATGAAGAGCGAGTGTATTCCTGGACATTCTTTCTATTCTGGGACTCCTTATTAGAGCTTTCATCCATTTTAAATATAAGAAATAGTTTATTCATATGTTACTATATGAATGTCTATGTACCACTTGTAATCCTGCAACAATCCTCAACTTTGGGCAAGCTATTTGTGGAATACATGTACCACTTACTATACCTACTTTCAGGCTACTGTAAACCTCTGAACTCAGCTGAAAATAAATGTCACTTTTTTAGAATAAGTATGCTTGCCTGGTGCGTTAGCTTTGTACATTATGCCTTGAATTACTGCACCATCTCTGGTAAGTCCACCCACAGCTGTAAATTCCTTTGTTTAAAGTGGAACTCTAGTCAAATACATATTTTTAATAGAGTAGGAAAGGTTTAGAGGATCTAAGTGATTTTTATGGTGGTCTTAGGAAGATTTTTCCTCAATTCTGGTCATTTCAGCAGGACAGAAAGTGAGGGGCGATAACTACATCAAGGACTCAACAAAACTCTACTTTTTAAAGTAGTGAGGGGTGAAACCACTACTAGAAGTTGTTACTACTGTCTGTCCCCATTTAGGAACGTTTACCTCTTCCTTCACAAACAGATAGCACAAGGACAGGAAGTGATGAGAAATTTCCCCAACAGGAATACGGCAATAAAACCAGGTGTCAGAGGTTCTAACTTTTCCTTTTATGTCCAAAAGTAGGAAAAGGTTCCATTTTTATTAATTGTGGTTCCTCTTGTTTTTGGGCATTTATTGCTAGAATGAGCAGAACATGGTCAGGGACAGCTTCAGGCAGACGTGTCTCTAGCCTTTTTTAGGATTCTAAAACCCAGTGTGTACCATCCAATGTGAAGGGCTTACCACCAGTGGTATTCAGTGGACTGAACCTGTAGTCACTGATCTTTACTGAATAGAAATTGAATTGGATGTAGATAACTTGTGATTACATTTGGGTACTCTTTCCAGTAGTCTACCATTCTAGGTGTCCTGTATCCCACGTCTGGCCTTCATACTCACCACTGCTTGTGTTAAGAGGAATTTCCTATAGATGTCTGTTGGGAAACTTTTGAAAAAAAAATCAGGCTGTGTGTAGCAGAGCAACTGGAAAAAAATTGTTCAACTAAGGACATTTAGAGCTGCAGAGAGGGGTAGATAATTTATAGTAACACTCAAGAGCACCTCGCCCCCCTTTACTTAAAACCCTGTTTGGGTGTCAGTAAAGAATAATATGACCAGATGCTACAGTCCTGCCCAGAAACTATATGAAAAGAAAGCCTGCTGAGTATAAATTTAACACATTATAAAAAAATAGACCAAACTGAATTGGCCCTCTGACTTTAGCATCTATTGACTACGGATGTCATTATTACAGTGATTTGATTTTTTTCCTACAGAGCGCATTTCATATAAACATCAGACAAGCAGACTTACTTGTAAACATGTTTTTCAGAACCTGCAGATGATATAAAAAGTGAAGAAAGAGATGGTGAACCTGCTGCAAAGAAGAGCAAGAAGGCGGCTTCAGATAAGGCTCCTAAGAAGAAAACGAAACGGGTAATACACATAAAAGAGGTTTAAACTCTTTGTGCTCTTCTGACAGCAGTGTCCTTTTATTATATTAATTATGTACAATCTTGAAAAATCTTAAAAAGACAAATCAAAGATATCAAATACTTCATGTGAAAATAAATATGTATCACAGCTTCACACCCCTGCTTGCCAAAAATCCAGATTATAGGTGGCTGATCAGGTAAAGAGCAGAATTGGTCTGCTGCATTGTGTAGTCACTTGGTGGCATACAACTTCAAGCACCTTAATGCCAAAGCTAGGTAAAATGATCAACCTTGAACCTTGGCTTGCTTAACCACTTGATGACCGGGGTGTTAAATCCCCTTTCTGTTAAGGCCATTTTTCCGTATTCAGCGCTGCGGTACTTTGACATTTATTCAGTCATGCAAAGATGTACTGAAATTAATTTTGTACATTTTTGGGGGGACAGATACAAAGAAAGTTCTGTTTGTATTTTTAGCACTACTGTTTTTTTAATTTTTTACTATATAAAGAAAAAATACCGGAAATTTTTTAAAAAAACAACAGTTTTCCCTACATTACGCTATGAAACATTTATTGTTACTCAATTTTTTTGTAAAATGTAAAAGATGGGGTCACGTCGGATAAATAGACACCAGACATGTCAAGCCTTAAAATTGTGCACGCCCACGAAATCTATAGCTGATGGTATTATTCTGCAGTGCTTTACCATGTATTGCTGAGATTTGTAGTCTTCTATAGCTGATGGTATTATTCTGCAGTGCTATATAATTTATTGCTGGGTATTGTAGTCCTCTATAGCTGGTGATATTCTGAATTTCTGTGTAATGCATTACTGGGATTTGTAGTCCTCTATAGTTGGCAGTATTCTGCATTGCTGTATAATGTATTGCTAATATTTCTATTCTCCCTATAGCTTGGAGTCAGTGGCAGATCTACCAGGGTCACAGCTGCAACTGGGCCCTGGCGCTCCACCACTGACTCAAAGGTGTAGAGAGACTACAAATCACAGCCCGGACAGGAAGAAGAGGGCACCCGGTGACCGTCGCCATTTCCATATAAAGGCCCACCAATATCCTCAGCACCAGGCCCGTGATACTCTTAATCCAGTCCTGCTGGTGCTAGGTTTTAATAAGAACAGTTTCCTATATCTTTGACAAGTTGAGTAAATCGCCCCGGACTCAGATACATGGTACAGATACATGTGTGAATCTGTCTAAAATTGACACAGAACTGGTCCAATAGTCAAAAATAAGATAAAATAACTGCTGGTAAAACATTCCTTTTACATAATTGTTTTATCATTTCCATTGTCAGGAGATATTAATTCTAATATTAAAAAATATTTTATAAAATGTGGAATATAATGGTTGGTTGTCAAACATCAGGATCATTGACAACCAACCTTACTTCAGACCGCATTATTCACAAAAATAAGCAGAGCACCCGCCTACGCATTTGGGTGAAGAGTGCTATTTACCATAAGGTAAAACAATCTTTAAACACTGAATGTCTGTAAACTAGCCTTACATACTTCTCCGTAGTGGAGTGCCATGTCAGGAATAAGAATCTTCTCTTACAAAAGTGAGGGGCTGATTCTTGTCAGTCATATCTTGCAGAAATGCCCTGCTTATTTCTGTAGGTATACACAGGGTCCAAGTCATAGCACTGTACATAACGGTATCTTCTTTTTGACCTATGTCACATCTGTTAGGACATTGTCATATGACAGGAGCTTCACATGGCTGTAAAGGATTAGCCGACTAAAAAAAAGTGTGGCTCAACCCCCCCGGCCAACATCTGGAGTCAATGGGTATATATACAATATGACCAACAAACAAAAACTTCCTTTTGTGACTAAAACGGATGGTATATTTAAAATATCCCCCAACCCTTAAATGTAACCCTTGTGTTGTAAAAACAAATATAAATCACAATATTATATATCAAAAACAAAAAAATCTGTATAAAAATATAATTCCAATTGCAATTAATATCATATAGTGTACTCCAACCGTATGGTGTCCGAGACACAACAAGAAGTAAGAGGAAAGCTCCGTAAGTGAAGTTAATTCCCTTTAGACACATGTCCCTGTTGATTTTTCCCTCCTGTTCAAGTAATAACCATATAATACAGTATTCTCTACCACTTTCTGCCCAGTGATCAGGACCAGTGAATTTCTCCAGCGTTGACATAGACCACAAAAACGACTGTTATAAACTCTAACCTTTCCACATTTTATCCAAAACTGGAAAAAAAAAGTTTTGGCTTTAGATGAAGACTTTAACTTAAGTGTGTTATTATGAGACACAGTACATCTACTGCTGCTCATGGCTGAAATCATAGTCTGTCAGTGTAGTTGCTGAGCCAGTAGAGGAAATGCAGTTGATGTCAGAGCTCCAAAGAGATCAGCTCATGGGCTTTAATATTGTACTCTACAATAGTCTCCTAGCTCTGATGTCAGCAATCTCTTTGATTGCCAAGTTGGATGAAAGAGTGGATCCAAATACAGCTACAGATAACTGCAATCTGTTTCTCAAGAGATGCAAGTTGAAGGGGCTAAATTAGGTCCAGTAAGTAAAATATACATTTCCTTTTGCAGTTATAAGCATACAAATGTAGTGTTGTTGCCTCAACTCTTACCCAAACAAGCCCTAAATGCTCTCATCTTTATGCTGAGGTATAATATTTTGTGCAGTGCAGTGTAATTTCATGGGTTACAAAAGAGCTCCTAAACCAGAATGGTAAACTCTGGTGTTGTCATTTATTGCCTAAACATACATTTTGTTTATCTCGGTACACAAAAAGCATAATATGAGAGGCATGCTTATTCTCAAAAGGGTCAGAATACAGTTATCAGAATACAATTTTTTAGCATTATTATTATTTCCCCTACCATGATTGCATGTGGTCTTTTGTTCATTTCAAACTCAGAACCTTGCTTCCATTATTGCTTTCCATTTTGGCCTTGTCAGGCTAATGTTCTGCCCTACCTCATGACTGGATGTCATCCACCCACCATGGGTTTTTTTTTTCCTCCATTATGTTCTTTTTCTTTCTCTCTTCTACAATCTTGTATAGCTCCTCTCCAGCGAAGTATCTTGTGATTTTCCCTTTAATATAACAGATGGGGTTTTGCTCTACTTTACACCTCTCCATTTGTGACCATGTTGGTTAAGTTGATTTTCAAGATATTTTGGAGCACCAAAGTTCAAAACTTCTAATCTTTTTTTAGAGATATTGTGATGTAAAATTACTTTAAAAATCCCTTTAGAAGGAATCAGATGATGGAAATTATGTAATTTAGGTATAGGTGACCTTTGAGTCAAACCACAAAATTCCAGCACAATTGTACAGTACATGTTGCTGGAATCAAGTGAGGAAATGACAAGAGATTTGAGGGGTTTATAAAACATTTCGATAGTAACATTACAGTTAGCCTTCTATCAAATGCGTGTTCCACTACCTCATTATGTAGGAAGTGTATGTCTTACATCAGAAATAAGGAGACTTGTTTTGCCTGACCCAAATCACTGCAGTGTAAAAGCTGATGAAATGAAGTTTGCTTTCCATCTGGATCCCTCGGGGCTGAACACTATAATATTTTCCTACACGGTACATAGAACAGGAAACTGGTTTAACAATCTCTGCTGCAAACATACATGGAAGAGCTATTCCAGATAAAGAGCCAGTGCCAAATCGGCACGCTTTCTATTAAGGCCTATTAGGAAAATCTACTTACAGTATCACCAGATGTGGCAGATTAGTGAAGGAAGAGACCATTTTATACCGGTGTCTAGTGTTCTGGTATTTGCTATGTAAGATCATGTACTGTACAAGGGGCGTACATAAAGTGTGTGCTGTTTTATAGGTGTGGTTACAGCTGGGATTTATTTTACACTTGATAGAGTGTTGGGAAGACAAAGCTGTCTGTAAATTTAAAGAGCCCTTACGTAGGCCTGCTTATCGCATTAGAATACACTGGGTTTAGACCTAATTAGCTAAAATTCAGAAAAGTCTCAAGGCCAGTTGGCATCTGATATCAGCTACCTGGTCTGGAAAATGCAGTCATATGAAAACTACATCTGCCATTCTTACTCAGGTTACATATGTTCATAAAACACATCTTAAAAAAATATTTTATATTATAACCCATGTAAGTCAATCTAGAAGAAGGCAAAGCCCTTAAAATCCACGTGTCCTGCCACATGAACAGAGGAAAATGCCTTCTCAACCACAAATTTGAAAAATAATTCTCTGTGTGAGCAAAAATTATGTAGATTATAAAATATGTAACTTTTTTTAAATATAAATTTCTGTATTACGCTATTTTGTTTTTTATTGAGGATTGCTTTATAGTTCCTTAATTAAAAATAACCTTTTTCACATTTAACAACTGTAGAATAATATACGCCGTAAGTGGATACTTTTTATCATACAACATTTATCTTGCCCACTGTCTTACTGAATCTTCGGCAGGAAACCAAATACAAAAAAGAATATGCAGAGTCCAAAAACATTCTGTTAGATTAACTGGCTGCTCTCAAAATGTACACTAGTGTAGGGTATGTATGAGAGTGGTAAGGATCTTAAAAAGGCAAATCTGGAAGCCGCTCTGATCTGTTTACAACTATCAATAAGGGAAAAGTGCACAAGCTCAGGGCACTTTACAAAACATTATAGAAGGGGTCCCCAGTATCCTTTTAGGCTAGACAGCAAAAAAAAACAGTTAGGTACTCCAGTTAAAAAATTAGGTTTTTGTTGCATACATTTGCAAATACATGTGGCAGACACACTGCCTCTGTAAGGCACATCTGATAAGGTTGGTCCTTACCTCTACACAGGGTTTCCCAACTATGGGACATATATAGAAATGCACTAACAGAGAGCATGCTCACCTGGAGTCAGCCCCATCCTTCTTACATGTGTAGCCAAATACCAGAAACTCCAACAGAACAATTGCCATATTTGCTTTTTTGGAATTGGTGCAGACACGTACTAGAAGTCTTCAGATGCCTGGCGTGTGGCTGTACCTTTAGGGCTGATTCGCACTAGATGCGTTGGAGCTGCGTTGGCCATTGTTTCCAGTGCAGCCCCAACACAAGACAAGGCAATTTGCCTAGTCACAGACAGGATTGGATGCACGCCACAAGGTTGCGTTTGGAACACGGTGGTGTGGGCTGAAAAAAATTTCAACATGATGTACTTTTTTTCAGTGAATCGGGATGTGAATCGGGATCGGAAAACTGCCTCACTCCCCACTGTGCCCATAGAACTGAATGAAATGTCGCTTGTGACATTTCAATAAAGTAATTTTTTTTAAAACAGTGCGATGTGTCGGGATTGGTGCATCTGCATTGTGTCAGGGCACCACACACCAGACGCTGTGCAATTAGCACAGCGTCTGGTGTGAATGGGCCCTCAAGGAGGATGGGGCTGACTTAAGTTGAGCTGCCTGCTCTCTGTTTGTGCATTGCTATTTATGTCTCACTGTTGGGAAACTCAGTTTGGAATTAGAGACACTCTGTTTTCAACATGAGTATTTTTTTTTTTTGATATCTTGAAAGTGTGCTGGGGACCCCTTTTTATACTGTTCAGTAATGGTCTTAAACTGTAAATGTTTTAAGAGTCATTAAACCGTGTTTGCTGCAAAATGTTGTTGGCGCTATGGAAATAAAGTTAATAATCAGATGTTCAGCCCTTTCAGATCTTGTATTTCTCCTCCATATGAAAAAACATGGTTGGGCTCTTTGCATGCTTGGCATGTGCCATTGCACTCACACAGTACGAACGGGGTATTCTTTTCAGTGTAGTTTATATAGTTATGTAAATATGCAAAGAAACAGTAAATATGAGGAAGTTTGTTAAAATGAAAAAAGTCAATGATTGTTTAAAAAAAATGAATGTCACATTTTTAACATTTGCAGAAATCAATTTTAAACATCTTTTAAAATCTTTTTCTGCTTTACAAACTACATTTTAATCATTTTGTAGGTCAAGGAATGTATTTTAAAACCAGCAGAGGAAAAGGTAGAAGAGACGGCGACCCCAAAAAAGCGCAGAAAAAGGAAGAAGGTATGTTGTTTTCATACACTGGGGATATTATTGTTTGTGTATGCTGCACTGAATAAGAGGAGACATTTTGTGTGGCCCACAATCATGACAGAAGAACTAAAAATTACATCGGTTGCAATGCAAACATTAAGGATAAACAGCCCCGTACCTCACTAGAAACAAGACATTCAGGATACTAACAAGACATTTGTAAAGATCAACCATGGATCGATTACACACATCCTTTTCTGTCCCCAGACAGTTTAACGTCCCTCTAGGCTCTAGACTCCTCACTGCTAACTTGAGAACCTCGGTGCCTCCCTTTGAATTTTCTAG